CAGAGGAAGCAATATTCCTCCTTTCACCATTAGGTTTTCCTGCATTAGTGCAGAAACCCAGAATAATCCCTTCATTCAGCCCCATCTCTTTGGGGAGTGATATTCCTCCTGCAAATTTTTGTTTCACTCTTGGCTAACTTACTCACAATCTCAGAAACTTGAAACTGTCCGGTTCGCTCAGATCTCCCCCTGCCTAGTATTGGTTACCTCTTGGCAAAATGCTTGCCCATTAGTGGGCCATAGGCATCACAGTGACAACGCAGAGTGATTTCGCCCTTTCCCTTCACACGCCCGACCTCAAGTAGAAAGCAACGCTTTCATGATGTCCTTCTCACAGCTAAACCAACAGCCAGAAACACTTGTTCTGAAGAAGAGTCCCTGGAGCCGAAACATTCGCAACTGTTTCTCTGTCCATAGATGCTGCCACACCCGCTGAGTTTCTCCAACCTATTTCTGTGTTTGTTTCAGATTTCCAGCATCTGCAGTTCTTTGTTTTATTTTGTTTTGCTTTGTCTCCGGCCCAACTTGTCGCACTTACTTTCCCCTCACCACCCCAAACCAGAAACCTCTCCCCCACCCCCACAACAACTCTTCCAGCTGCAGTTTCCTCCTTGTCGAATTAATTCATTCACTTTTGTCTCATCGTAGTGACTCTCCCAAGACATTTTCGATTGCAGAACGGTAAAAATAATCCCTGACCAAATGAATGAGTCCAATAAGAAAAAAATCTATAATCAGATGAATTTTTGTCGTTCTCATTTCCTCCTCATTTCTGTAGGTTTGTGTTGTTAGTTATTTCATTATCTTTAAAGAATATATATAACTGTGAGCAGACTGACACAAGCTATACCTTAACCATAAATAGAGTGACGATTGCGAATATTTAAGAAGGAATTTAAAATATACCCCTACGCAGCGGCCTTACATGATCCTCATAGGATTATGAAAGCGCTTTGAGATTTTTGGACAAGTCTGATTTAAGGGTGTGATTATTTGTCAATGTATTCTTCCAGGCAAATCGCCAGTCTTTAGAATATTGAAATTGTCTTTGGAATATCGAAGATACCTTAAATTTTCGAGTGGGGTGCGAACGGTGTAAAGGGAACACTGACTATTCTCGCACTTGACCATATATGTGGTTGTTCTACACCGCCGGGAGGGGCTCAATTGTGTGTTTTATCTTTTTCATATGTCTTCAAAATCTGCAGCTTTGATTTGGCCAGTATAAAAATGTGACTGTCCGGAGTTTGAACCGTCGGAACACCGATCGAAGCACAGCAAATTCCGCACGCTTGCTTTCCGCCCGTGGAGAGTGTGAACTCTACAACATTTATGGTCGGAAAGTGCTTTGAACCGTCTGAGAGTTGTCAGGGGCGCTACATAAATGCAAGTCTTCGTTTTTAACGTAAAACGACAGACCCTATGATGTTTTCGCAATCTAAGCTGGCGATGAAACGCCAAGAGCTTAATTACATTTATTTGTTTTTTTAAAAATAATCACGAGATGAAAAAATATATTCAGTTGGTTTTGGCATAATTCAAGGAAAGTCCAGTATTGCTGTCGCCAGTATGTGGGCAGGTATTATTGGTGATTGCGGGTATCGATTGGTTGCATTTGTTTACCACTCGTTTTATAGCAATTCTGACCATGTATTTACATTTCAAACTTGTCCATGGGGAAGCCTTGTGGCCATTTGGCGGATGTAGAGAGTGTGTAAACCGCTAAAGACTGGGAGAATGCAGCGGCCTGCACCCTGCCAGTTTTAAATAATTGCTCAAGTGTCAGAGGCCACGGTTCTTGGAGTCACACATGCCCAGATAAACAAGTTGAGTGACGGACCATGTACACTCCTCACCCCTGTCTGAGCAGTTTATCCATCAAAGAAATAAAGTACAACGTTATAAAACGATTGATCTGACCCCTGCACGCTTTGAAATCTCACTGCTGTTTGCATTGGATCCTCATGTCACTCAGTTCCAGAATGCAATTGATGTCCGTTCTGGAACACCCCGAGTTGTCTCACTCAGTTTCCATCCGGATGTCTGGCTGGCTCAGTGACGAAAACTACTTTCACTTCTACTAATATTGTGGAACAAACTGTCCCCATCGCTTTGCAAACACTCCATTAGCACCTCAAATGTCTCAACTCCCCTCTCAGTCAGAAACTTACTTTGTTTCATAGAATTCATAGCATCGCTACAGTGTGGAAAAAGCTATTTGCCCCAACAAGTCCACGCCGACTTTTGAAATGTAACGACTGTCGTTGAGAGTTTTTTTAGGAAGTTAAAGGAAATAGCAGTTGCTTTCAGGACAAATGAAACTATTGTTTTCTTTTTTCGCAATAGAGTCACTGTTGTACATCATTGCGAGGGGCCTCAGCTGCCAGTGCCCACACAGGAGGATCCCTCTAGCAGCGATTCATTTACGGTGTTGGTTTGACAGATAATTGCTGGCTAGCATAGTAACCGATGGATCTCTCGGCCGGCAGTCCAGCACTCCCGCAGTCCTGTGCTCGAACATCACCCGAGGCTGCAGTCATTTTTCTGTAATCAGCCTGTTCAGAGATATTATTGCGCACCTCTGTGGGATCTGAACCATCTGAGGTGGTATCGGTCGTAGGGTGTCTGAAGCGGGACTTGAACCGCCTACTTTCTGCATCAAGGGGAAAGCTTGACACCCACCGAGGCTGAGGGCACACGCCAAGGTGGCGTCCCATGACTAGAATCTCCGACAATCAATTGTTTCTTGACTCAAATACAGACCCAAAAAAAGTTGCATAAAAACTTGACAATGATTCATCCGTCTGCTTTAAGCCAGAGAGAAAAAAAAACAGAATTCAACGTTACCCCTTTGTCGTTTTTTTTTGCCCACGTTCTGGATCTGAATTAAAGCCGTGACAGTCCCCACTCACCACAGAAAGTGTAACATTTTAAATCGAACTCTCACTCATCCTTTTCAATTCAGATTTGAAATCTCTCGAACTCGACTGTAAACGGGACAAACTTCACTGCGCAATTCATGTTGAAAGCATGGACTCTGTGTGTGTGTGTGTGTGTGTGTGTGTGTAGGGCGAGATTGGGGGGGGAGCTGTTATTAAGGATAACTTTCCCATAAAAATCCTTTAACGTATCGAACGTGTAAAGGGATATCTCCCTGTTGAAAGCAATCACATTCCCCCAGATCAACAGCCCGGGGTCTTGCTGCCAAAACTGAAGCTGATTTTCGTTGTGTTCTGCCCTGTCTGTCTCTCTCAATGTTACCACCTGAGGACTTAACACCAGGGAGTATTACTGAGGCACATCAGGAAGATGTGTCCACTAAAGGCAAGATACATTTGACAATAAAACAATTGAATCTTCTGTATCTTCCAGAGCATAAAGCTCGGAACTCCAACCTGCCAATCATTTACTAGGGCTGTTGTTTTTATCAGCAGAACCGCCATCAGTCATTTACGAATCCAGGCAAAGGCACAGAAAACGTGTATACTGCCCCAGGTGACATTTTTTTCGTAATTCAGTCTTTTTTTTGAATGAACTCCTTAGACAATAGCAATTACATTTTACAAGAAGATTTAGCACTCGTTAAAAAAAAAGAACTATATTTTAAAGCTACAGCTGCCATGCAAATTGTCTAGGGAAATGCTACACGTTTCTTTTTGTTGTTCCGGGACTTTATGCATATTCTGAGTCAACCTGTTTGGACATGTTGTCACACAGCTCCGGGACGGGTGAGACTTGAAGCTGGACCTTCTGGTCCGAAGCTAGAGACACGACCACCGCGCCCCCTTTCTAGCTTTGTTGTTATGATAGAATTCTAAAGCCCCCCAAAAGCGGCAGGTGATTCGAAGGCAGACCCTGGAAAACCCGCGGTTACCGCTTTCCTCCGCTAGGGGTCGCTGTGTTGGTTCCAAATCCATATTTCACTGGGGTTTTTCTCAGCATTTTTTTTAACATCAGCAGCAATGTTTGTCAAATTATTTCACTGCTTTCCAGAGCGAGTTCGCTGGCAATTCAACGTATGCATCGATTTTATCTTAAAAGTGGCTACCCGTATCCCCTCGCCTGACTTTTCCATTGAGCACAATAGAGTCCCTAACTCCAACTATATCTTTTCTTCAAATTACACACAGCCGGGAGCACTTTATGACAAGCAGGTTCTCCCAACTCCAAGTTCCGCATTTCGCTTTCCTTTCCCCCCCTTTTTTTTGTAGTAACCCTGTCCGGTCTCAGACCATTTAGAAGTAGGAAAATCCCAAGGTATAACGTTAGAAGATGCAATCACTCACTCATTCACGCACCCTTCCCCGTGTACCCTTACTCCCCACCACCACCGCCCCTCCCTTCACCTGCCCTTTGGAGGAGAGACAAGAGTTGGGTGACCGAGCAAGAAAATCTGGTCAACCCTGACTAAAGTTCAAAGGCCAAGAGAAAGCCTGCGGTAAACAAGATACGCTTGCAGGGGCTTGCCTGTCTAAAATTAATAAGTGCAGTTTGAATCGCATTGATACGAGCTGCAAATCAGATAGAAATGGCAGCCGGATACTGCACAACCACCGGACTATGTGGGGTTATTCCGAAACCAGAGATCTCCACAGCCATTTTACCAAAGGAGCAACATTTCACAGGTTTAATAGCTCATGACAGTTTAGGTACAGAATTCACACACACGCACACACACCTACTCCAAAATACACACTCAGATTTATTCCTCTCAGACTCTGTTCCACAATTTTGTTTGCTTTTGGTTACCTCGCCAAGCCCCTTAGAGTGACAAAACTTTCTCTCTCTCTCTGTCTGCCGCCAGCTGACAGTCAGCTGATGCAGGCTTTGTGATTGACAGTTTTAAAAGTTTTTTTGCCCGGCTCCCTCTTTATGCTAAGCAGACAAGCTGGGACGCCAGCCCATTGGCTGACTCGCGTTAGTCAACTTCCCATTTGAAATCTGACGTCGGGTCCTCTATAAAAGGGGCGATGCTTTTAAACAGAGAGTCGGCGATTCCCGTCCTGCAGCTAAAATCGCAACTCGCGCTGGGGGCTTCGCCTGATTTTATTTTATCCCAACCCCAACCCCACCCCCTCCCCCTCCAAAGCAGTAAACCATCGCAATATTATTTTTAATCTGTTTCTCTCTCTCTGTGTGTGTGTGTGTGTGTGTGTGTCTTTTACCTATCTATCTCACACCTCCCCGTCCCTGTTCGCTCACAGTCTTACCTCCATCACATAGACTGTGAGTGTAAGCAACAGCCACCTACAAAAAAATACAGAGCGGCCACGATGAAGCAGAGTGAGTGAGAGAGGGAGAGAGAGAGAGAGGGAGAGAGAGAGTAAGAGAGAAGCAACAATCAGACCGGCTGCGCAGAGTCCATGAAGCTCAGACTTAAAAGAGAGGGGAAAAGATCGTTTTTTCACCGATGATTCTGCACTGTAACAGATTGGAACTGGAGCAGTCCTAACCTCTTCATTTTGCAAACAAAAAATCGCCGAAGTGTGGCAAAGTCTTCCTAAATCCTAATAGAGAGGGAGAGAGAGAGAAAATCCAACCAACCACCAGCAAAAAAAGACAACAAAAAAGGATTCAAACTGGCTCTCTCCCCGTCTGCTCAGAACAGTCTGATTGCTGCAATCGCTGGCGTTTGTCCTGGCGTTTGGAGAAGTGGGCATCTTCATACCAACTGCAACAAAGCGATGGCATCCGAGTTGGCAATCAGCAACGCCGACCTACCCAACAGTCCCCTTGCGATGGAATATGTTAATGACTTCGATCTGATGAAATTCGAAGTCAAAAAGGAGCCGGTGGACTCGGAAGGCAATCCGGGCAGTCACTGCAACCGCATCGGGGGCTCGCTGTCTTCTACGCCAATGAGCACCCCGTGCAGTTCGGTGCCTCCGTCTCCCAGCTTCAGCGCCCCGAGCCCCGGAGAGCAGAAGGCGGCGCATCTGGAAGACTTTTACTGGATGACCAACTACCAGCAGCTGAACCCGGACGCCCTGGGCTTTACGCCGGAGGATGCGGTGGAGGCCCTGATCAGCAGCGCCCATCAGCAGATGCAAGCCGGCTTCGAGAGTTACCGAAGCCAACAGCAACAGCAGCAACAGCAACAGCAGTATGCCCCGGCGGCTGGAGCGGGCTTGGCCGGCGATGAGATGTCTCCAGCCGGCGCTGTGGTGGCTCATCACCACCATCATCATCACCACCACCACCACCAGGGGCACCAGCACCCAGCGGCAGGAGGAGGAGTGGGCACTGCCGTGGGCAATGCCGGAGCGAGCACCGGAGGCATGCACCCGCACCTGCGGGCCGGCGATGACCGCTTCTCGGATGACCAGCTGGTCACCATGTCGGTGAGGGAGCTGAACCGGCAGCTCCGGGGCGTCAGCAAGGAGGAGGTGATCCGGCTGAAGCAGAAGCGGCGGACCCTGAAGAACCGCGGCTACGCTCAGTCCTGCCGCTTCAAGCGGGTGCAGCAGAGGCACATGCTGGAACGCGAGAAGTCGCAGCTCCAGCAGCAGGTCGAACACTTAAAACAGGAGATCAGCAGGCTGGTGCGGGAGAGGGACGCCTACAAGGAGAAGTACGAGAAACTGGTGACCAGCGGCTTCAGAGAAACGGGATCGTCCAGTGACAATCCTTCATCTCCGGAATTCTTCATGTGAGTTTGTGGATTTGCTGTGCCTCACCCTCAGACCACCCCACACCCCCCCCCCCATAAAAAAACTTTTTAAAAAACTCTTTTAAAAAAAACTGGCGTTTCTCCCTCCCCCCAACCCTGTCATCTCATGCATTATATGCTTGCTATATCATTTTTGTGTTTTTTTTAAGTGAAAGGACTATATTATTATCAAACCTGCATGCTGGACATGTATGGATTTAATTAGTTTGTTGAAAATGGATTTTTTTTTAAAAAAAAGAAATCACTTATGGCATGGCAAGAAATTATATTCGTGACTTTTACTTTTACTCTTTTTATTTGACTCGGATGCCCCCCCCCCAAAAAAAATGAAAGGAAATGGCATCCTTCATCCAACGCATCCCTGAGAAAAAAGTTTTGCATCCGCAAGGGGGGAGTTACTTTAACTTTAGTTCGGGCCTTTGAAAAAACATCAACTCTTTCATTTTGTGTGAACTCCTGCAAAAAAAGGCAAAATGACAGACTGGATTGCTGTATAACAAAGACTGGGACTGTGGCTAAGGGAAAAAAAACAATTACTGCGTAATGTTTGGGACATTCTATACATAAAGTGGTGTGTTGATTCGCAAAACAGTATATAAATTTATTAAACATTGGGCTAAACACTTTCCATGCGTTTTGGGCTAACTGTGTAACTCTCCGTGCAAGTGAATACATCAATGAGTTCTCAATGTGTGCGTGTTTGTTTGTGTGCGTGTGTTGGATGCAATCTAATTTAATTACACTTTTATAGTATATTTGTAGAAAAGGAAGGCTCTGTATAGTATCCCTGCCGGCTGTAGCTGCGAAGTTAAGGCGTGTTGTGTAGATTATAAAGGGGAAGGTCAATGTAGATTATGTTACTCCCCAGTCTATATAAAATCGAATGCACTAAGGTAAGGAGTTTGTTTAAAAATTCACTTTACTTGCTTTTGTGGATAATTGGTCGGGAAACATCCAGGAATTAATTTACAGGACGGTGCTGCAATGGTCTCCGACTGAAAATAGATACACTTTTTTATTAATTGCAGGAGGTCGAGATTTTTGCAGTTGCGTTTTGCATGTTGGAAAGCGGAAGGTGAACGATGAGTGGCCCTTTACTTTTCTCATCAGACTGCATTTCCAAAGCAAAGTCTTATTAAAGGGGAGGAGCCCGTCTTTAATCTCTGAATGTGTGTGTATGCGTGTGTGCCTGTGTGTGAAGTGTTGGAAAATTACATTTTCATGGCGCTGTATAATCTCTTCCCCTGTGCGTGAAATACTGAGACTGAATTGAAATAAAATGAAACGTGTTTTATATATGATATACATTATAGTAAGCAAATGAAAATAAAATGCAAAAAATACATGTTTAGAACTTTAATGCATTTTAAAAACAATTATGCATGGAAAATATGACCACTGCCTGCACAGTGCAAAATGATCAGAAGTTTTGCTGTTTTACACAATTTTTAGAATCAACATTTTTAGATAGCCAACATACCCGAATCAGTTTTTACAAGATTCATCTAAGGTGTTGGTGATATTTTGTTTGATATTTGTTAGAAATCTCATTTTCTAGGAAGGCTTCCTCTGTGCCTGAGTGTGTGTTTCAGTTCAAATTTAACAAAGACGAGCCGTAATAAATTTTGAAATCTGACAGGAGTTTAATACTTTTTTTTAAACTTCAAGTTGTGCAAAGCTCTCAAAAATTATCCGGAATTCTTGGCTAGCCACATGTGATTTTAACTCACGTGTGTTGTCTTCCAATTCTCCGCCCTATTTCCTTCAACATATTTTATAAAATGTTGTTGATTTTTTTAACACGTGTAATGCTGGGAGGGAGGGGGGCGTTGGAAACATATGCGTAGTTGCTGGGTTTTGTAGATAGATTAAAACTTGCGAAGCACCTGAAAATGGTTACTGCGGCTGTTATTGAGGACATTATATTTTACAGGCTTCACACCCGGCTCGCTGTGTAATGCGTTCAGCAATCCGCCAGATCAAAGTTTCTCAGTCACTGACCTATCGCGTCTATTTTCATCCACAGTATTAATTTGAATGCCAACATTCTATTTGCTCAAGAGTTGAACGTATGGGCAAAACACCAGTTCTTAGTGATAAGTCTAGATGATTCAAAATAGCAACCCTTTGTGGGGTTTTTTAGCTGTAATTTCACAAAAAATATGTTTTAAAAATACTGTTGGCTAATTAACTGGGAAAACCTTTTTTTCTACTGTTGAAGAAATTTGCTGTTACACATGTGTGCATTTCTAGAGAAGAAATTCCTCGTCATTACAGGGTCCAACAGGACTGTGTTCATTCTGAACTGCCAACGGGGCGCAATAGCATTCTAACAATTCTTCTGAAGTCATTCTTTTTATTTCCACCCCAAAGATCCAAATACAAATAATCGGATCTGTTAGAAAGCGCAGTTTAAAATATCAAAGGCAGAAATAAATCCAGGCTCCCTTTTGTGAATTTTCAGGAAAATGATCATTGACAAAAGTAGGAGAGCAGACACATTAAACTTAGTTTTACATCAGTTGTTATCTCGATTAATATTCATTTTGCACTATAAGCCCTAAGCAATAATATATTTTAATATATGATCCTTAATGATCATCTGTCAGACCGCTGAGCACAAGCTTTGTAATCTCTAGTCATCTTCTACACTGAAAACGTACCAGAGCTAAGCGACTATCTTCAACCAATTATTGGACATATCCAGTGTTTAGGAGGCCGAATATTACAGTGATAATAGAGGAAAATGTCCTTTGAATGTTCTCACAAATCATTAGTGGGATATATCTGTGAAACGTTACTGCGAGGAAGAAATAAATAGTCAAAAAGAAAACGCCATTCAGTTTTGTTCAGTTAAGACCAGGTTGATACGATCTCCCTTTGCATAACAGGCCGCTATCGATCGTTCGGAAGGTCACCAATTGCAAACACAATCGTTTCAGGTTAAAGGGTGGTAAAGGTTAAATCGAGACAAATATATCAATCAGGCCCTCTAATTCAAAATGAAAAGCAGTTTAACTCGTTGGGGTCCGCTGCACCAATCTTATAGCAGAAAATCCCTGGACCTAGCGTAGAAAGGGTATTCTAATAAATGAGGCACTGGCTTGCTCGGTTTTGACGATTCATTTTGTAAATCGTCGACAGTGTGTTGTGATAGCTCGAGTTTGGAGTGATGCACAACTTCAAAGGGCTCACTGGCGTATGTTTTTACAACCCGGCCTAGTTTGACCCGTTCACAAATGTGCGTTGTCTGTTTGTCACCAGGGTTTGGGGGCCTGTCACGTTTTGAATCATGAAAGCTTATTGATGTGAAACAATACGTAACCCCTGATCAGATGTGTCGTGTGATGTCTGGCTATAACATCCACGATAGGAAATGATGTTTTGCATGACTGTCAGAAGACCAGCCATTTCAACAAAAAGCGAGCAGCCAGCGCGCAATAGCGATAAAGTCTTCCAGACGGGGCAGACACGAGAGAGGGGTTGACTGGGGCTCGGGGAGTGGCGGTGGGAAACTAACACACAGCGGTCCTGTCCCCCGCTTCCTTCAATATCAGGAATGAGAGTTTTTGTTATGCCACCCATTTAATCTTGCAACTAGTGCCACTCACGGATACGCGACAGAATCTTTTGAAATCTGTTGTAATCAATTGACCCCAGATGAGTTACTCTCTATTTTTAATCCCGTATTTGACCCGCTACATTTCTGTAGCTGGGCACGGGCAACTTGCAAGGGACATACTTCTTCAGAAGTGTAGGGACCAATCGCTGTTCTGGCGCTACACATACTTCACACAGAGTTTCCCTTTAGACATTCCAGCACCCTGCAAATGTCAAACCTTAAGAGAGAGGGGGATTTTAAAGAAAAGTGCAACAGAAAATAAGACTCTGGAGATTATTTCAGTCCCACGTGTTCGGCTTGGTGGTATTTGAGTGTGCAGATTAATCGAGGTGAATTAGGGGCATTGTTCAGTTATTCGTTACACAGGATTGTCGAGATTTTTTTTGTTTTGCTAAGGCAGTGACTCTGTCCTTTCAGTGGAGCTTTGATTTCCATCAGGGATAAGGCAGGGGGAGAGTAAAACGGCTGAGCTTTTGGTTAAAAGTGAAGGAGGCGTGATGTGACTGAAATCTGAGAGCTCCCAGCTTTAGGCTGTTAAAGTGCAGCGAACAGTGAAACTGCGTGGAGAAGCACAAGTGTCAGAGAGAGCCTTACAGTTCAACCTTTCGGTTGTTCCTCTCGTAAACGCACACGCACTTTCTGACTTTCTCTCACATACACAGTCCTCCTGCCAATCTCTCTCTCCCTTTCGCTCGCACATGCACACCTACTTTCTCTCAGACCAGCTTTGCCTTTCACATGCTTCGCCTCAGTTGGTGCACTTCTTCCTCCGGATTTTTGGCATGTGCACAATCCAACACATAAATTCACATTTCTCTCTGTGTCTGTCGCACGTACTCGAATCCTATGGCTGGTACTGTACATAGAGTAGGTATGTGTAACTTATGTATGGGCAGCAATACATGGATCCAGTATCAGAGTTCCGTTCCCAGCAGCGCTGTGTGTACCTACATCCCAAGGACCGCAGTAGTTCAAGATGGCACCGTCTTCTCAAGGGCACTGAAGGATGGGCGATAAATGCCATCCTGTGAAAGAATAAAATACAAGTAGACAGATGGAATTCAGTTTAATGAAGCCCACCGTGTTTGTTTTTTTTTCCGTATTTTTTATTATCCCCGCAGTTGACATGCTGTTGCTGGTTCTTAGAAAGCGACAGCCATTTCCTTTTCCCTAATAGCTATATCCTTTTCTTCCTCTTTAACCCAGATATCCATGTCCCGTCTAAAAGTCACTATTGACATTGCTTCCATCGCCCTTTCAGGTAGCGCATTCCAAAGCATAACATCCCGCTGCTTTAAAGAAAAGATCATTGTTTTCTCTTTTATGACGCACAGCGAATGAAAGTGTAGCATCCTGT